ATATTTGATTACAGCTGTTTCAGATAATTAAAAATTGCAAAATTTTTATTTTATTCACTAAATAACTATAAGCATATTTTAAATCTTCTTTTCTAAAAATATTGAACGAATATTTTACAAAAAAATATTTTACCTAACAAACAACAATAATTTAAATGAAAAACAATTCGGTTTTCAAAATCAACACTTTATCAAACCTGCAATCTTAGATCTTGTAAATAGCATAAATGACTCTTTCGATAACAGAAAATTCGAGGAATCATTATTAATCTATCAAAAGCATTGTACGCAGTTGATCATGCTTTTATTATTTGATCATACTTAAAAAAATGGAAAAATATGGCATTAAAAATGTTATTTTACAATATTTCTGTTTCATGCAAACCAATTGTATGTATGTTAATATAGCATGGACAAGTACCCATAGATTCAACTTAGTTGCATTTTATCGACATTAATAACATGCCGCATGTATAGCCTTTAATAAGGATATCCAATCATGCTGATTCTCATTTTCTATTATATATATTTAAAAAAAAATTAAAGAAAAGTTTTTTAGTAAAATAAATTTATTTAGAAAAAATATATATGTTTAGTTTAACCCGACAATTCGGTTAAAACTGAACGTGCTAAAAAAATATTGAAATTTAATTTAATTAATTGTAATAAAAAAAAATAATTTAAAAATAGTAAACAAGTAATTTACAAAAAGGTAGAATTAATTTACAAAACGATAAGATTACAAAAAAAGATTTTACAAGTTTCGACATTTTTTAATACAACAATTTTTTTCATCAGTTTTATATTTTTTTGGTAAACATGTTTGACAAATCCAGCTTTTGCAATTTGTACTTTCACATGTTTCATTATGTTTTAATTCTTTAACTTGTTGTAGCCTTTTCAGAATTTGTATTGACGTTTTGGACTCGAAAATTTTCTTTTAAAGATATTTCAAGTCCAACTACTGCTTGGTTCAATGCCGGTGTCATTGGACAAATTGGTGTTTTAATAAGTATCAAATGATTTTGTGTTGATTGTGTGTTAAGATTTTTATTAGATTAATTTTGTGTAAGTTGAGCTTGTGTAGGTTTAGTTTGTCTAGCTTGACTTTGTCATCAACACAAACTCAAGGTGGTTCAAATGTTTCAGCAATTTGTAATTTAGATTTATCAATTTTGTTTATACCAGGTGGAAATAAACCAGTATTTTGAAATCCTCTAAATACTTGTAATCGTGTAAATACTTCATCACTGTTTAAAATCTTAGCTTAAAGCTGAACAAACTTTTCTTCTGATAAATTGCTGTATAACGTACTTGCGTAATGCTGTTGTAATAATTTTGCCAAAGTTTTTTGACATGACAATATACTCCCACATCTAATGGATGAAGTAAGTGGTAGGAGTGAGCTTGTAAATATATTGACTTGATATTATTCTTAATGTGTTACATGCGTCTTATGATTAACTAATACTAACATATGACTTTTTTTTTTAATTTTTTTTTTTTTTTCAGAAAATAACAAACTCATTTTGAATGTGTGTTATAATCATCCAATATTAACGTAAGACTTTATTTTAAAAAAATTCCGTATTTCCGTAAAAAAAATTTCAGAAAAATAACTTACTCATTTTAAATGTGTGTTATAATCATCCAATACTAACATAAGACTTTATTTTAAAAAAATTCCGTATTTCCGTGAAAAAAATTTCAGAAAAATAACAAACTCATGTTGAATGTGTGTTATAATCATCCAATACTAACATAAGACTTTATAGCAGCCGTGGCGCAGTGGTAGCGCACTTGCATCAGAAACGTAAGATCCGTGGTTCAGACCCCATCTCTGGGCAAGTTTTGCGACATCAGTTGGGAAGGAGGCGTGAACTCCCTATTAAATGCTCTTCCGCGGTGCTCTGTTATAAGACCGTAAGGACTTCTTGGGGCACCTAAAATCAACATAAAAAAAGACTTTATTTTAAAAAAATTCCGTATTTCCGTAAAAAAAATTTCAGAAAAGTAACAAACTCATTTTTGAAAAAAAGATTCTTAATCAATGTGACTTTTATTACAAATATATCTTTTTACTTCTATGTTATTTCATTTTAGATTTTTACGTCTGTATTAAAATATTATATACTAATTAATTAAAATAATAATACTTATGCCAGGGCCGACAACATGGGTTTCATAGTGGAGGGGCACAATCGTCAATTTCTAAAATTAATCGTCAATTTCAAAAAATTAATCTATATCTTTCTAAAAAAAAGAGAGGGAGGGGGCCAGTGCCCCCTGGCACCCGAAAATTATTATTTGAAATTATTTTTTTTTATATCATTAGATAGATCACAAAATTCTCCATAATATAGAACTAAAATAATTTTTAAATATTTTTGTTTAAAACCAATTTTAAACTTTCAAAATATTTTTCAAGTTTTGATTGGGAAAATGAGTATAAAGATTTAAATGCTAGTCAAGCAAAAAATGGCTAATCAAGCAAAAAATATATATCATACTGGATGCAGTAAACTTATTCCAATTATAAATTATTTTACCAGTAAAAAATATGCTCCATGGATGACTAAAGAGCTTCGAAAAATGGTTAAGTTAAAGAAAAAGTTATGGTATAAATGCAGGCATTCAAGATTTAAAAAAACTGACATGGTAAACAACTATAAAATATTGAACAAAAATGTAAAAAAAAAAAGACATAAAAAGATATAAGAGCTTTTGCATTAAATCTAGCTAAAAACTCAAGAAAACCCCTAAAAGTGTCTATGTTTATTTAAATAGTAAAATAGTTATAAAAGATTCAATCAAAGCACTCAAAACTTTTGATGGTAACAAAGAAGTAGATATTGCAAATTGTTTAAACGAGTATTTTGTTTCAGTATTTTAAAAAGATGAGATATTAGACCATGTAACTTTTCCTTCAAAATGTAATTTTTATTCTAGCGATCCAAGTTTTAATGACAATGATGTTGAATATCAGTTAGTAAACCTTAATGTTAATAAAACAATTGGTGTTGATAAAGTTCATCCTCGTGTTCTCAAAGAATGTTCAAAATCACTTTCTCATCCCTTATCACTGATCTTTAAAATGTCATTTTATAGTGGTGTTATACCAAACGAATGATTAACTGCAAACATAACTCCACTATTCAAGAAAGGAGATAAGTTAGATCCTTCAAACTATCGACCGATATCAATAACATCAATAGTATGCAAGGTTATGAAGCAAATTATTCATAATGTTATGATGAACCATTTAGCTTTAAATAAGTTGATAGCAAGCGAACAGCACGGATTTGTTAATGGTAAAAATTGTTGTTTTAATTTATTAGAGACTTTAGATTTTATAACAAGTAAAATAGAAGCTGGTAATAATATTGATATAATATTTTTGGACTTTGCAAAAGCCATTGATTCCGTTTCTTTATCAAAATTATGCTGCAAGCTTTATGGTTATGGTTTTCACTCTTATATCTTAAAATAGTGTAAATCATTTCTCAGTAATAGAAAAACACAAAGTGGAGTTCCCCAGGGTTCAGTCCTCGGTCCACTTCTGTTTATAATATTTATAAATGACTTAAAAGTTAGCATACTAAATAAATTAGAATTATTTGCAGATGATACAAAAATAATGTCAGTAATTAATAATGTAAGTAACAGCAGTGCTCTTCAAGAAAATTTAAATATGTTATTAGACTGGTCAAATAAGTGGTCAATGGAGAAATGGAGATGGAGAAAATTGTAATGGAGAAAATTGTAATTCAATGGAGAAAATTGTAAAACAATCACATTGGTAATTTGAATCCTCAGATTATTTACAAATTAGGAGATCATATTTTTCAAAAAACAGAAGTTGAAAGAGATTTAGATGTAATATTATCAAATGACCTCAAATGGGAAAATCATATTATCAGTGTAGCAAATAAAGCAAATAGAACACTGGGTTTTTTAAAACATGGATTTAAATATCTTGATGTTACCGTTTTGAAGTTGTTATACAAGTCAACTATTAGGCCACAGCTTGAATATGCAGCATCTGTATGAAGCCCATATTTTATTAAAGACATTAAGAGACTCGAAAAGGTACAGCGTGGATCGACTAGGATTGAATCACTGAAAGGCATCTGCTATGAAGAAAGGAAAAAAATATTAGGTTTACTATCCTTACAAGAAAGGAGAAGGGGCGATTTAATTGAAATGTTTAAAATATTAAATTCAACTGAATATATAAGGTTTAAAGAGCCTTTAGAATTTTACAATAACATGTCTAGATATCGTCATAATAAAAGACTTCATTGACAATATACTAAAAAATCATCCAGATATTATTATTTAACAAATAGAGTGGTCGACGATTGGAATTTATTGTCACAAGATGCAATCGATTCTGCAAACAAAAACACGTTCAAAAATAGAATAGACAAAATTTTGAACTTTTGATACCAAATTTTATTTAGGAACTTTTTATTCTATTTTTAAAATTTTACATTTAACGGCTGTTACAGTCAATACACTACGTATTTTTGACTCACCAAACTTAAATAGTTTGTTCAGCAATTATCATATTATTATATCATTATTATTATAAACAAAATTAAAAACATTTTCATAACTGTTCATTTTCCCCGCTGTCTCCATTTTACTTTTTTTTAATCTTTGAGTTTTCCTACTAATTGCATATACATGTAGAAACACAACTAAACATATTTTTTATTTATATATTGTTTAAGTAAAAACGCAACTACATGCATCTTAATATATACGTATATATATATATATATATATATATATATATATATATATATATATATATATATATATATATATATATATATATATATATATATATATATATATATATATATATATATATATATATATATATGTATATATATATATATATATATATATATATATATATATATATATATATATATATATATATATATATATATATATATATATATATATATATTGTTTATGTATAATTGTAGTGAACTCAACGAAAGAAGATACTAATGGAATTTTGCAGTCAGGTATATTATATAATTGTTCTCCTAATGTAAGTTCCCAAAAGTTTTTCTATTTTCAAAGTTATTTCTATAAAAAGAAATTTACAACTTTTTAAGAGCGCATAAAAGAATAAACAATACATGCAAGTAAATAAACCAATAAAATATAAAAAAAGCCTTTATAGCACCCAACACTATAAAAAACTAATTAATATGAAACAGTTATTTTGCTGATTTATTTTAACTCAACAATGGTTATAACTTTTATATTAATTTATAATAAGTATGTTACAAACAACCCAGCTAACATTTTATAGCAGAATTTTAGTGGACCTATATAGGCAATTTGAGCGGACCACTGTAGTCTTGCTCATCGGTTACTAAGTGGACCATTATTGCCAGCCGCCAAAAAGGGCTAGCCGATGACTAGCCACTATTAATATTTCGGAAAGTTATTGGTTTGACATCTATAGCGGCTGCCACTAATGGTCCACTAAGTAACCAATTAGTAAAACTCCAATGAACCGCTAAAAAATGCTTATATAGGTCTACTGCAAGTCCACTAAGACAATGCTTGCTGGGAAATAGTGCTTGAATTTGATTTAAAGATGCAATTTGTTTTTTCCGAAACTTATCCTTAGTAAGTATTTTATAATGACTAACTTAAATCTTGACAAACTTATTTAACCATTTTTTACTTACCCTACCTAGCAAACGTTTTGTAGTGGAGTTTCAGTGGAACTACATAGGCATTTTGAGCGGACCGCTGTAGTTTTGTTGATCGGTTACTTAGTGGACCATTTGTGGCAGCGCCAAAAGTGGCTAGCCGATGATTAGCTACTACTAAAACTTCAGAAATTTATTGTCTTACCATTTATAGTCTTACCATTTATACCATTTATCGTCTTACCATTTATAACTCCAATGAACCGCTAAAAATGTCTATATAGGTCCACTGCAAATCCACTAAAACAATGTTTGCTGGGTACTGACTGTTTGTTTTCTTTTTATCTCAAAATCCATTAAAGCAATTAGTCAAGTTAATTTTTTTATTAAAGTATTATTTTCAAAAAATTAGATTCATGTACATTAACAGGTATTCGGATTAAACGATCTCATAAGAAGGCGCACAAGTTAAGTGCAAAGTGGCTACCAATGGTGCGTAAATTATGGAAGTATTGGCGTCACAGAGGTACTCAAATTCTCTTCTGATTGGTCTTTCTAAACCTCTTGACTTGGTCTGAAAATCTCCAATATTTATGGTTGCAGAACAGTTATACACCTAAAAATAATGGTGACTGGGTGAAGAGGTTTGGTAATGAGCGACCAAGAGAACGAGAAGAGTACTGTCTTAAACGTGTCTAAAACGTGGATTTAGCAAATACTTTCTTTTCAGAAATATAGTCAGTGCCTGATATTGAAAGTAGAAATATAATGGCGCACTTTAGTTAGTGTCTATTGCCCTAAATAAATAACGTTTGACAAACACCCAACAGTTTGCTGACATAACTTTAAAAGACAGTACACTTCTTCTTGGCGTTCTTACTAATCTTATTCTTTTTTAACTTTTAATTACAATACAATACAACGTCGACGTTGTACAATATAACGTCGACAAAATAAACAACGTTAAGTTTCTTATTTTTCTTTATTGTTAATAAACTTGATAATTTATAAACATCAATCGTACTCAATCATAAAGTTCATTAGCTGACATGTTTATTTATAAACATGTTTATTATAATTATATTGATATAAAACATTTATAACATTTTATATTAAATTTTAACACAGTCACAACATAACAAAACTTACACATTACACAAAACAAATCAATAAACTGTTTGTAATATGGAGGGTTCATGAAACAAATAAGTTTTCCATTTTCAAAATAAATTTTATAATCCCTTTTAAATTTTATTTTATTAATTTGCGGCTTAATTAGCATTTTTGTTGGCCTTCAACTAACAAGCAGTCGAAGTAACGTTTGATCAACCAACGTCTTAGTATCGTCTAAGTAACGTAATTAGTTCATCGTGTTTAATAACTGACATCCATAAATTTTTAAAAAAATTATAAAATATGACTTTAAGAAAATGAATTCAATTCTTGGTTTCAGTTTGTGTCTCAGTTGCTCTCTTAAATTTAACATTCCTGGATCCTGAACCCTTCGTATTGCCTTGATGAATTGATCACTATTTCATTTTCTGAATTTCATACTACTTCGTTTTCAGGAGCACGTCAAGTAATGCATACCATTGTATCAAAGCTGACCAGCCACACAAGTAAAAAAATTACAGACCATTTTGGAAAACTGATAGAGACCTCTGTTTTAAAAAATGATGGGCTTTTTAAAAAAAGTTGGTTTTTGTGTGCTTTTTTCCTATATTACATAACTTTACTAATTTTATTATTTTACAATGATTAATATAAGTTTTATAAATTTTATTTATTTAAGTAATAATTTTTGTGTAAGTTTATTTATATACCTAAAGTACGTATTACCAGTGTTAAGTCTGTCAAAATAAAATGCAAAAATTTGAGAATAAAATCACCTCGTAATTTTATACTCAAATTAATTCCTCTATAGAATCGCCACTAGTGTCTATCCCTCTATAGGACCGCCACTAGTGTCAAAAACTCAACTTTTTTAATATAAATTATAGTTTTTACAAGTAATAACTAGAAACGAGAAACACGAAGTATAAATTACAAACTATATAATGTATAAATACATATATTAGAAACAACTCTGCTATAATGTTGCATAACAAATTAACAATAATAGTAATATAACAATATAATAACAAATAAACTTTACATAAAAATAATTAAAGTAATGATGCCATACATCATTCAATAGATGAAATAAAATTAAAAAAATGCACCCACATATACACCCAGTTCATTAAGAACGAATGCATTTCATCATGCAATGCTAGAAGCTAATACAGTATACTCCATTTATATGTAAGATGTATTTATGATAAAAGCTATATTTGACTCAAAAGCCACGCACAAAATAGTTTAGCGTGTAAACTAAATGTTGCATTTTCTTCACAAGCGTATACAAGTTTGGCGATTTGTAGTATCAAGGTCGATTTTACTGATAAGATTTACATATCTATAGCTTGATACTGATAAGATTTACATATCTATAGCTTGATACTGATAAGATTTACATATCTATAGCTTAATACTGATAAGGTTTACATAGCTATAGCTTGATACAGATAAGATTTACATAGGTATAATTTGTTAAAAAGTTATTTTGTTGTAGTTTATTGTAATTAGTTAATTATTAGATATCAGTTATTAAAAAAACTAGTTTTAACAAAAAAATTAATAATAGTTAGTTATTTCGCGGCAACGTCTTTTTTTAAATGTAATTTAAAAAGTATAATCTCTGATATAAATTTTTGTGTAACCAATTGATATTGCAATTAATTAATTAAATTTATTAAAATTTATAAGCAATTAATTAATTAAATTTATTGAAATTTAACGCAAATGTAAAGATATTTAAACTGCAAATTTTCGAAAATGATGTTTTTTGACGCACCCTAATTTATATATATATATATATATATATATATATATATATATATATATATATATATATATATATATATATATATATATATATATATATATATATATATATATATATATATATATATATATATATATATATATATATATATATATAAATTAGGGTGCGTCAAAAAACATCATTTTTGAAAATTATTTGTATATATATATATATATATATATATATATATATATATATATATATATATATAATATATATATATATATATATATATATATATATATATATATAAATTAGGGTGCGTCAAAAAACATCATTTTTGAAAATTATTTGTAACATGTACCTTCATCTGTTCTATAGGGTGGTTAAATTATGGTCATCATAGTAGTGTTTGGTGCTTACTTTATCAATGTTTACAAATCAAAATTTTTTTATTTTATTTATGCTGCTTGTAGTTGTAAATTTTGATTTATGAATAAACAAATTCAAACTCAAATTCGTATATATAAATATATATATATATATATTCTAATAAATAAGACAACTTTTTTAATTTTTGTTAAAGTTATTTATTTTATAAATACATGTTTTGACTATATCATAGCCATTATCAGCTAAAGTATATTAAAATGCTTAAATCAAATTATTAATATTAAGTTTAACTAATAGAGACCTTTTAATAAAAATACAATAATAATGCAAATAAAAAAAATATAACAAATGTTTTAAAAAAGATAAAAAAACCGGTAATGTTAAAATGGTTCATTTGTTTATTAACAGCGGATTCTTCCCACTTTATGCTTTCTTTGAGTTTTAATGTAATTACTGATGATAGCTATGATATAGTCAAAACATGTATTTTAAATTAATTACAACTGATGATTGCTATGATATAGTTAAAACATGAATTTATAAAATGTTTGTAAAAAAAGTGTGAGGTTTTTTGAAAATATAATAAAATACAAATAGATTTGATAATATATAGAGCAAGACGGGACAAGATGGCGAACTTTTTGAAAACCTTGATTTATTTCAAAACTTATACCAATAACTCATGGTTAATAATTGATGGTATTTTTATGTTTTTATAACGATTGATTGCTTTCATGAATTTTCAGTTTGCAAGTAGAAAAATTTTAAATTAGAACTAACTTAAAAAGTTTATAAATTTGTCATCTGGTTACATGACCGGAACAAAATGATTTATTTTGCAATTTCTGTCTCCAATTTTCTAAAGTTTTAAATACTACTAACTATTCTAACTAAAGTAACATAAAATGAACACAAAATAAACACGGGTTGCAAAAAAATATTCCTAAAATTATGACTAACAGTAATCGAGGTTGTTTTTTTTTTAAGCGCAAAAAGTAAACCTATGCGTATAAAATTGCATTGATATTATTTAGAAAAACCAATTGGCATTTTAAAATACAAGATGTAAATACAGTTTTGTTTTGTTTTTCATTTTTTTTGTTGAGTTGTTCTATGATTAGTTATCTATTCCTATTAGCCATCCTGCCCTGTTTTTCCCTATAGCTAGTAAAAAAAAAAGACTGATTGTTAAAGTTTAGATTATTTTTTTGTTGACAGATAAGCAAATGTCCTCATTTGTAAAAGCTCAACCAATTGGTCCCATGGAAACAATCTCTGTTGACATTCAAGGCAATGCATCAACAACAAGTAATTTTAATAAGGTAATTGGAGATTCATCTGAAATTGTAAGACCGGAAAAAACTAACGTTTTGAAGTTCCAAGAATCCAGCATTGAAAACAACGTAGATGACTCTATCAAAAAGCATAAGGTAACTGAAATCAAAGAAGTTAAGAAGAAAAAAAGTAATAAGAAAAAAAATTTGAAAAAAAAATCTGCTAAAAAAACAAAAAAATCGCACTTTCCTAAAATTATTCTCTATCAAGGACCAATATCAAAAGCCTTAGAAAATATTCTTACAGCAAAAATTTCTACTAAAAGACAACTTCAAAACCGTGTTGTTACTCCAATGACCTTTGAAGAAGCAACTGCAGATATTAAACGAAGCAGCATTACTCACCCTAAAGTAATTTTTTTTTTTTTTAATGATAAAACGTGGTTACGTTTTATTTATTTCATTTTGTATTTAATGTTACATATTTTTTGTTACGTAACATTTTAATAATAGAATGTTATGTATATGTAAAGAGACTATCTTTACATATACATAACATATAAGGACCAGCAGGCCCGCCCAAAGCTTTTGTGATGCCCGGGTCCAAAAGTTTAATGGATATCATACTTCAGTATGATATTCAGTATCATCCAAAAGTTTAATGGATATCATAATTCAGGTCTTAAAATGAAAAATACCAAATAAATGAGTATAGTTATTTTTTGTTTACTTTCATAGATAACCTAAAATCACATTTAATTAATTTTGGTTTTTAAAAATAAACAATAACTTCTGCATAAGAAAAGTTGTTGGCTTAATCTAATTCAATTGAAAAAATCATCAAGTAGCAATATCACTCCTTTTCCAGAGTGGAACGAAGATAATCTTTGATGATAGTTAAATTGTTGAAAGTCTTTTACCCTCAGATATTGAAACTGGCAACATTTAGATAATTCTATGCGAAATACACGCTTTGAACGCAACCATTTGCATAAACCTCAATTAGAAGTTCGACAGGCTTTTTACTGTCTAAATTATTTCTTTTTACGGATAAAAAATGCCAAACTTCATCAGAAAATTCGTTTTTAAATAAGTCTTTTTAGTAACGTTTAGGCAGGTTCTCAGCTTTTAAACCTAGTTCTTTGTTTGTTTGAGATTTCTGTGGAGACCAAAGAAAGAAAAACTTGTTACATTCTTCTTATAATTCCAAGTTTCCATTTCCATTTTTGAACAATTTATGATTGGATTGAAAAAAAAAATTATTAAAATAGTAATCTATAAATCCAATTATAAAATTTAATTTTGATTTTTAAATTAAAAATAAAATATTGCAAAATATAAATTTAAAATTTAAAAACAATATTCTTACTCCTAAACGCAAAATTTTTTGAAGCCAGAAAAATTGTGACGTCAAGAATGCATTATAAAAATTTTTTGAAGGCAGAAAAATATTGTGACATTAAGAATGCATTATAAAATTTCTTGAAGCCAGAAATATTGTGACATTAAGAATGCATTATAAAATTACTTTCATCGCTTTGTTTCATATCTAATTTTGTTTCATCTTCAAAAAAAGTTTTACATAGTGTTAAATAAGAAAATAATCTTTACTATATTATGTAAACATAAAACCAATCACTGTTCTCCTAAATGAGCAATAAAGGTCAACTCAAATTTCAAAGAAACCACAATATGCCTGTGAAAGCTTGTGACTCCTGGATTCCAAAAAAATAAAAAAAATCAAATCATCCTATTACGTCAGAGAAAGAAAATCACTTTTAAAAATTTTTATTTCGCACATATTTATGAAATGACAGCATTCTCGAAATTTTACATTTTTACAGCATATTTTAACATTCAAAAACCGCTTTGAAAATAATAAAACATACTTAACATAACAAGGAAACAAAAAATATGAAAATGTGAAAGATTTTATGTTATAAAATTGGTAGTAATCCAAATAGGTAAAAGATCATTTGGGTAAAGTATTGCTTTTCTGAAAGTTTTTTCTAATAAGTTAACTCTAGAATAATTTCAATAATAGTTTAGTAGTAATCCAAATAGGTAAAAGATCATGTGGGTAAATACAAAATAAATATTAAAATAAATTCCACATTTAAAGCAACAACATTCTTGACAAAAAAAATTCTTTACAAATTCCAAACTGTTCACAGACTTTTGCTGTTAAAATCAACTAGGCACATTTCTAGCCTTTTTCCATAATCTGGATGGCTGATAGGTCGTTTGTATCGTTGCCAATGTTTCTGAAAACAATGATAAATAGATTCTGTTGCTTGCTCACTGTAGATTCTAAGAGGAAACCTTGTTTTTTAGATGAAGTCCTTAACATGGAAAAACACTACATGTACTTTTGGAGTGATGCTTCCTCTTGGCAATGTCAAATATGAATCTCTGAATGAATCAATTTTTTATGCATAAGTGTAATCCAACTTGTTGCCAAAACATGCAGAAACAATGGGACCAAACTTTCGAAAGCTGTCAATGATGCTGAAAACTTGAAAGGCATTGTCATTTTCAGCCAGTGTTTAGAGAAGGTCGAGATTTTTGAGGAGCTTGTGGCAATCATTCCCAGCAAATTGACTACCATGAAAAGGTTGGGGCTGAATGTGCAAAGCTTGGAGCCATTCAGCTGATTTGGGAGAGACACAGCTTCACTATCTGCTTCATTTTGTAGAACTCCAAGGCAGACTTTAAGAAAACCTCCACCACCATCTATTCCAAGTTTAATGATGTGTTTTGAGAAAACCTTCCTTGAAAGTAGAACTTCTTCAGTGAGTGCTTAGAGATTTTTGCAATGGACAACAACACTTTGAGACTTCTTTTTATCTGAACTAATGATTCAGATCAAAAGAATGTTGTTGGGGTTTGTGTAAAGTGTTCTTCTAGACTTTTTCCGAGATCCTGGAACTTGTGCAATATATTTGGTTCCAGAACTTTGGCAGACGAAACATGCCTAATGGTGGAAGTCAGTTTTTTTATTCCACTGTTTGACAATCCTGTATTTAGTTGAACTTGAGCAAGATCCTTTGCGTTGACTAGCTGGATCTTTGAACAACTGCTTAGAGCAAGAAGGACCTGTTAAAGAGTAAAATATAATATTTCAGTAACTTAAATGTGATGGTCGACCTTAATGAAGAATTACATACGAACCTTGTGTGATTGGGAGCAGTCCTTTTGGCTGCACAAGTCTAATGGTTCCACAAGTAGAAGATTCTCTGCTGACAATTGTTGAGCTGGCAATTTGTTCTGCCACAATTCCATCAGATTTTGCAAGCTCCCTTAAGTTTTCACGGAACTGTAATGAAGAGCAACGATGGGGTAAACCTCGACCAATAAGAGAGAGACATGTAGAACATCTTCTGTCTGATGTTTTCTCTCCAGTTTTTGTTCTTTCAAGAGGGTGTTTCTCTGTCAGTTTAAGTCACCTTATGTCACAAATCAAGCATTCACAAGCTTGACCACATGTGTGAACTTTTATATCAATGGTTTCAAATTGAAACAGCTTGGGCAAAACAACCTTCTGCCCTTGATTAATTTCCTTTTCTAAGACACATGATTCAAACATTTTCTGTTCTCATCATGACTTCTTGCATGATTAGGCATTTTCAATTTATTTCAGGAGAAAAGGTTAAAAAATCGACCTTCAAAAGCTTTGATTTGTAGTAAACTGCCTTTTCCCGGATTTTTTTGGTAAATTCTTAAAAATATTTTTTAACTGCCTTTTACCGGAATTTTTTGGTAAATTCTTAAAAATAATTTAAAATTTCCAATATTATTCAAAAAGTGCAAATTAAAAAAAACTATTATTGAAATTATTCTAGAATTAACTTATAAGAAAAAACTTTCAGAAAAGCAATATTTTACCCAAGTGATCTTTTACCTATTTGGATTACTACCAATTTTATAACATAAAATCTTTCACATTTTCATATTTTTTGTTTCTTTATTATGTTAAGTAGGTTTTATTATTTTCAAAGAGGTTTTTGAATGTTAAGATATGCTGTAAAAATATAAAATTTCGAGAATGCTGTCATTTCATGAATATGTGCAAAATAAAGTTTTTTAAAAGTGATTTTCTTTCTCTGACGTAATAGGATGATTTGATTTTTTTATATTTTTGGAATCCAGGAGTCATAGCTTTCACAGGCATTTCTTTGTGATTTCTTTGGGATTTGAGTTGACACTTAATGCTCATTTAGGAGAACGGTGCAATAAAAACTCATTCATTCAAATGGAAAATGAAAACCTTGTAAAGTAATAATCATTCTATTTTAAATGCAAACAAAGTTTAAAAGGAGAACGAAATGATTACAGAAAAATTGCTTAAGCTTAAAATATGTTATCAGCTAAAGCTTTTTATCATTAAAAAAAAATTTTTTAAGGTATATGTGATGCCCCATAGGCTGTGATGCTCGGGGCAAACTACTTTAATTGCCCCTTCCTCTTGACGGCCCTGGGGACTAGTTTAGTATTAAGTTTTTATTTCTAGATGCATTTTTATGAAAAATTTTTATAACGAAAATTCTGTATAAATGAAGTCTTTACTTTTACAGCACACTTTAGTTTGTCCATTAAATTCTATATAATTTGGTCAACGAAGCGTTACAGCTAGTTATTTGTTGACATTGAGTTTGCAGTTGGAATAAAATTTACATATAATTGAAAATTAATCAACATTGATCTGGCGTGACCAATATTGTCATAGTAAATATTACACTAGGTTGACCTTATATTACAAAAATGTCAATATGGGGATTGTGATTTATACTTTGCAATGCTTACGGAGATTTTTGCATACCTGACAAAAAAATAATTTTACTGAAAATAATTATCACTTTGAGTTTCAAACTAGGAAGTTAACATTACTAAAACGTGTTAATATTAAATGTTAAATAAATTGATACTCTTAAGAGCAACTGTGGCACAATGGTTACAGCGTTTGTCTTAGAAGCAACAGATCCAGGGTTTGAAGCGAGTTCTGGGCATATTTTGTGTCATCGGAAAAGAAGGAATAAACTTCCTTGTTAAATGCTTAAAAACTTGTGACGTAAGTTCTTAATGGTAGACCTAAAACAAAAATACAAAATAAAAATAGTAGCACTATAGTTACATGATATAACTATAGTTATATGATATTAATGACAAATTTAATTAAGTATTAATAAAAGTTGGACTTTTATTTTTTATGCTTAACAATTCCAGTTCAATAAATTAAAGTTTTACAAGGTCAAATATTATTAAGAAATGTAACAAAAACAAAGTGTTACTTTGATGTTAATGCGGCGTTAACCGTAAACTTTTTTTGATTGTTCACGAAAAAACGCAGTTGGCATATTTTCATATTCAATACAATTACGCAAATAACATAAAATTAGGGGTGCACCGATGCATCGGCATCGGCGTTGGTCTGCCGATATTATCGGCCATTTAGCCGAAGCATCGGCATCGATCTTGATAACCATCGGCCGATGCCGATTGTTTTGAAACTTTTTAAAATTGATTAAATTCTTATTATTAAATTCAAAACTTTTTTACACACAAAACATTTTGCATTTTACACAGAAAAAGATCTTTACAAAAATCATTCAAAATGTACTATAAATTAATATAATATTTGTAAAATTAAGATAATATATACGTAATATATTGGATTATAATAGTACGATTTTGGATCTTGTTTCCTTAATTGTACCGATAGCATATTTTTTTTAATTTAGTTCCCTATCAAATACCGATGTTTAAATTTTGATATTATTTTAAATTTTTTTAGAACAGTTTATCCCCAAATTATGAAATACAATAGTCTGATTGTTTCTACTTTATATTTTTTCTCTATTTTAGACTTTATTCTTAGAGGGTATAATATCGGTAACATTACCCTAATGCAATGTATAAGCCTAACTTATTAATAATAAGTTTTATATAGGCATATATGCAACCACTAAACTAAAAATTTTTCAACTGCTACTTTTTAAGTGTTTTCTTACAATTTATAAGAAATTTTTTATTAAATAATAATAAATTATAAAGAGAAAATTGCTTTAAACAAAGATTTTTTTGAAACTCTTTCTTTTATTTTTTACAATCAAAATGTTTCATTACATTTATATTAAAATTAAACAATAAAAAAGTTTATTATTAAATTGAAAGCGTTTAGCAAATAAACATTTAATATAAGTATTGTTTTATAATTTAATTTCGTTAAAACATTTGCTAAAAACTTGCCAATTATTTGAAGTAACGACATCAAAATCTTCCATTCATTCTTTATAAAAAACAAAATCGTTAACAGAATGACGAAAATAAATATTTACAAAACTTTTCAATTGAAGTAGCTACTCTAATTATCTAGAATAAAAAAATAAATGGAAAATAAACTTTCACAGTAACAATTTTAAAACATTGCTTTCATTGTCACATGAATGGATAGTAGCATTTTTATTTAAGTGTATATTTCCATCATATATTCAATATCAGGGTTGATGCCGATGTATTAGCCAATGCATCGACATTGACCTGTACCCATCGGCATCGACCAAAGGTAGGCATCGGTGCACCCTTACATAAAATGCGTAATTGTTTAGAATTAGTTTGTCAGTGGGAACCTGACAAACTAATACTAAAGTAGTACCTGACAAATAAAATTACTTATTTTTACGTACGTTTTAGAAAGTGTGTATTTTGAGGTAAAAATAATGTTTTTTAATCAGTACTTTGAGGTACGTGATTAGATTTATTTATTAGTGGGATTGGTAAATTTATGGAGATAAGTTTGGTATCTTAATTAATATTTTTAATAAATAATATATACTGTTATTTTAAATATTTCAAAATTTTTGTTTTAAATTAGACAAACAATGTTCCTGCAAATAGAAGTCAAGAAAAAAATACAGAAGAAGACAACCAAGTTAAAAAATCGAAGTTGCATAAAAAAGCTCCCAAAAAATATGTTATTAAAGGCTATACTGACTCCTTGAAGGCCGACAAAAAGTCTTATGGCACAAAAAAAGATAAAGTTAAAGCGAGTTTTGGAACTAGTAAGGCTTTTTAATAAAATTATAATTATTACTTAAAAATAAAAACTTAAAAACTTAAAAACAATTTTAAGTTTCCTTTGTAGTTTAGTTTAAACGTAAACGTTGAATTTATTTTAATACCAGTGTAAAATTATGTTTCATTCGATTTAGTGTGTTATGCCAGTTTGTAGAGTGTTGTAAACTTTAAAATATTGCATCATAAAGTCAAGGCAATCATTTTTTGACGTTTTTTGCATGTAAATCCACAAAATAACAATTTTTTAAAACATTGCATTTTTTTGCTTTTGTATATCAAAATTTTATGCAGTCTTACTGCAGTCGGTAAATTGGGTTATCTAATAAATTTATAATAAACTTAATATACTTTGCATTTTTCCCCTTAAAATTACTAACTAATCACTAAGTGATTAATTTTCTTGTATCATTCTATTGGATTAAATGTATCGTTATCTTCAATCAACATCTTCTAGACGTCTTTATGAAATTAAAGACATCTTTATAAAAACAAATTTTAAAACGAAACGTAGCAAACGCTAATTTTTTTAAAAAATGGAAATATGAAAATACTTGGAGTCTTTTTTCTACACAGCAATCCCAGTTAACCACACTTTACTGTGTTTTCCACTTGCGCACCATTAACTTTTGAAGTGTTACAATTTTGATGGCAATGTTTCTTAAAAGAAACTAAATTCACTTACATTGAAAATATCTATTAGTTGAATGTTGTTTGTAAGGTTTTTTTTTTAGGGTGTAATAATCTCTTTGGTAACTTTTCTTGATTCTCCAGAGACTTCCTTGAATGATATGATATGATCTGACATTATTGTGTCATAATCTTTGATTATAATTTTTATTTAGATTTTAAACCTATTGTTGAAGTTTTCTGGTAAGAGGTTGTTTTATCTAGATGCTGATATTTATTTCAAATAAATCAATCATTATCATATCTTTCATAACCCAGTGGGCATCAGACCAAAAAAAGACGTCTTTAGAACGTTCAAAAGACGTCCAAAACGTTCACAAAACGTTCGATACATTAAAAAGACATTCGAAAGACGTCTTTTTTATGTCCTGTGTCCACTGGTAAAAGGTTTTGCACGTTCCCACTTTAAAGTAAATGACTCAAGCGTGTTTTGGTAGCTTTTACATTTTTTGAAGTTTTGCTCATTGCGTACTTGTGTATAATATATATTTGCATAGTTAATGAAACAGTGGGTTAGACTAAAATATATTAATTTGAAACTCATTAAATTGACGTATGTTTAAACTCGATACATAATGCCAATAGTTTTGGTAACTTTTGACTGTATATAACTTATATGGGAAAGCGAATATAATTTTTCATCGACAAGAGTTCTTAAGAATTTCCACTTGCTTACTTTTTAATTATTAATTCATTTGAATAAAGTTGGTGCAGCTTAAGAGCAATGCTTAATTCTTGTGTTTTTTATGGAATAGAGTACAACTTTTTTCCTCAACATTAAGTGAGAGTTTGTTTGTCCTAAACCAAATATTTGTTTGGTTTATTTCCATATTTATACTCGTATATAAATATTTGATATCATTATTGGAAAAAAATTAATGTGAATAGTCTGCAAATTTCTCACACCATCCTTTAGATAATATAAATTTTTTGTAATTAGACGACTTTGTAATTAGACGATTGATTTGACTATTAGAGTTTTTACATCAAAACGTAGTATTGATGTAAACTATTTCAACAAGGGTTTATTCAGTTTTTTGTACATTCCTGATTTAACACAGCGTTTTTAATGACGAATTTTCAAAAGTATTTACAAGCATTTCAAAAGCGAATTTTCTTCTAAATAGCATGGACACAACCAGGAAAGCTAAATTGGTTTGCAGCATCTTTATTTGGTCTATCCTAATCTAATTCATTTAACGTGTTGTACTTTTAAAGTAACCAAATTATGCTTTCATTTTGTGCCCAATTTGTTTGAGTCAAGAAGTCAAGAAGTTTAGTTAAAGAAGAAAAAAAAATTTTAAAACTAAAACTTGCTTTAGATAAACAACAAAAGATTAAAAAATAATCGAACATTAAAATTCAAATAGCATGATGCAAAATAAGTCCAGGAGCACAAAAATCTGTTCAAAATACTAGTTTTTCAAGTTATGTTAGTTTTTCAAGTTATGTTATGTATATATATATATATATATATATATATATATATATATATATATATATATATATATATATATATATATAAAAGTTATCTAATTTTTTCTTCTTAAAATTTGCATATAAAAACTTAAATCTTTATAACAAATTTAATTTATGTCTTAGGTTTATTTTACAAAAATCTTTTTTTTCTCTCTTTTAGTACCGGTATTTACGATAAATCCTTTTGATGCTATAGGTAAGTTCTTTATAATTTTTTTTGCAATGTTTTTATTTAACACACTTTTATTGCTTTGTTGTACAAAATTAGTCTATTTATCAATACACATTTCTATGCGCACATAGTTAGTATATATATATATATATATATATATATATATATATATATATATATATATATATATATATATATATATATATATATATATATATATATATATATATATATATATACATATATATATATATATATATATATATATATATATATATATATATATATATATATATATATATATATATATATATATATATATATATATATATATATATATATATATATATATAGAATAGCAAATAAATTTTTGCTCAATTTTTTAATAAAATGAAGGTCGATTGCATCCAATAACCCTTCTCTCTCACGGTACAGACATTTCAAATGACATTTAAACTTCTTCTTTCTTTTAGGAAATAATGAGCCAAATTTAAATATGCCAAGTAATTATAATAAAGACCAAAAATTAACACCTGTGTCTGCATTTCCTCCGTTTCCTCAACATCCAATTGTATCCAGTCCGTTTCCAGATAATTTTGGTGTAAACATATTAAATTTAAACAGTAAACAAGATAAGCAAAAACCTGACAATGTTGCTGATCAAAAACATTTAAATGAAGAGGTCAAAACCACAGTTGTTGAAATGTCAAACCAAAAACAATCAAAAGCGCCTATTGTGGCAAACAGTGAACCAGCTGATCAAGAACAAGATGAAGAAGGCGATGACGACGATGATGGGTTTATTTCAGATAAAAATAATACAGTTCTTCCAACAGGTGAGTTTATTTATTTTATAGACCAATCTTTTTTTATTTTTTTTAAAAAAAGCAAACAACAAGTATTTTTGACTTTAATAATAGAAAATTTTTTTTATAGCATCTAGTCTTTCTCTTCCAAAAGGATCAGATCTTGACTTCCAAACAGTTCCAAACAATCCTTTAAAAAATAACCAAGGAACGCCAGACCCAGTTGTTAATGCCCCTGATTCTGAAATGCCATTAAACCAGAAGAATCCAAAAAGTGATGAAGACGAAGACGATCAAGATGTTGATGAAATTGACAACTTGCAGTTACCTGCTTCTTTACCTGTGGTTCCCATACAACCATCAAGCGATATAAATAGAGAGCTATTAGATAAAGTTCAAGCAAACAGTAGAGGAATTGAAGCATTAAACAGCGATCTTGCAGAAACCAAAAATAAAGTTGACGCTCTTGCAGTATCTATAAGTGATATAGGAAACGATTTAAAAAGGATTGAAAAAAAATTAAATGGTAAATAAATATATACGCATATATATATATATATATATATATATATAAATATATAAATATATATATATATATATATATATATATATATATATATATATATATATATATACATATGCGTGTATGTGCGTGTGTATATAAATAAAATGGTTTTAATATCATAGAAAAAGTTATTATGGTAAAATTATTCTATCATAGAAAAAAAAGCTAAAGAATCGTTTGTAAAGTTTGCTGGACCACTTGCTCCACTACAGCAGCAAAATCCGTTTTTTGGTTCTCCAAGAATTATTGAAATCATCAAAAGACCAAGCTTTAAACTGATTAAAAAACCTTTTTTTTTAAACCGTCCTATACCTATTAATATTATCCAAGGATCTCAGTTATTTAGTAACCAACCTCCTTTTCCTATCTTTAACAAAATAAAGCAGAGAAGACCAATTAATTTACCGTTAGAAAGAAGAAAACCTAAAGTGGTAAAAGAAATATTTTTGCCGTTGCCTCCTCCAGATTCACCAGCAGCAAAAGATATAGAAGAGGGAAAACCAATGCCAGGTCTACCATGGCCCATCAATCAAATTGTTACAATGATGATGAGACAACTTGAAAAGTCAACTCAAGAACCAGTTAAAATTCCTAAAGGTATTTATCATGTTTTGTTTTAGCTTGTATTAAATATTACCCCTTTATTTTAAATTTATGAAAAATATAATATAAAAGGTTTTATTAAGTATATTAGTTTTTTAAATATATATATATATATATATATATATATATATATATATATATATATATATATATATATATATATATATATATATATATATATATATATATATATATATATATATATATATATATTATAATATATTATTACATATATTATTACATATACTATTACAACATTTTATATACTTTATAATTATCATTACCGTGTTTAATAATAAAATTTGTATTAAGTTCAACTTCATGTTACAAAGCCACTTCGTCAACCACTGCCATCACCTGATATTGACTACCCACCACGTGAACACGATATTGATCAATTGGAATTTGAACTTGGGAGGATACCGATTACGAGGTTAGGAATTAAAGAAAATCAAAGACCGAAGATTGTCTTTTTTCCAAAAGAACAAAATTTTGGAAAACCATTTGCATTTATAGGAAAAGGTAAATAAGTTGCTATATGGTTGTTATATTAAAAAGTAAGAAAGTTATTTTAAACTTAAGCACTTTAGGTTTGGGCATTGAATTCATGGGCGTTTAACACTTTATTATAAAAATAACAATTTAAATAAGTATAACTAGTTATATAAAGAAGTTGTGTCTTTGCGTTTAAGAAAACCAAATAAATATTTTTAGATTGTGATGAACCATGTTTAAATGGCGGATTTTGCGCTGGAGGAAATATTTGTAAATGTCCAATTCACTTTGATGGGCCAAAATGTGAACGAGGTCTTCATCGGTCATTTACAGAGTTAGTTGAAATCATTCCATCGGAAGAGGATATTGCACCAAAAAAATCAAACTTATTTACCTTTCCTCTGGGTGTTTCTACAAACGATAACGATGAAGAAAAAGAAACTGTTGGTCAAGTTGACCAGAAAGAAATAGTAGATGCTCTGTCAAAGTTTATTGATCAAATTCCAGCTCTTTCTGAGAAACGGAGCTCTATACCAGAAAAACCTCAGAAATTTACTGAAGAAGAAATGCAGTTTTTAAAAAGAAAAAAATAGAAAAAACATTTTACAAATGTTTTTTAATTTGTTTGCAAAAAATCAGTTTGATTGACTCAAAACAAGCTTTTGATTAGCTCACTGAAAGTTCAACTTTTATAGTCCTTACAGAATTAAAGAAAAAAACGGAATTAGTTTTTTTTTGAAGCGACAGTTTATTTTTATATATCGAGATTTGTGAATTATATATTTCTTATTTACATGTGTTACTAGGTTTTTATTAACTTTGTTCACTTTAGCAACAGCAATTACGCTTCATTCAGTTATGTTTCATTCATTTCCGTTCATTTATTGTTATTGTTTAATTTATTCTAAACAAAGTTTAACGGTATTATAATTTTGTTTAAAAATTTGTAGATATTTTGTTACTGATTGTTCGATGTTTTAACCGAATTTTGTGTGTTATTAAAATGAAGTTATATAACTTGAAAAAGAAGTTGTTTTTTTGCTTTTAAATCTGACTTTATTATTACTTTTTTTTTATAAAGAGGGACGAAAAAGTGGGAGCCTGATTAGTTGGTTGTCTGCATTAGTGCCCAAATTAAATTCCCAAAGACTGGCATAAATGTATATATATATATATATATATATATATATATATATATATATATATATATATATATATATATATATATATATATATATATATATATATATATATACATTTATATATATTATATGACATATATTATATGGCATAAATATATATATATATATATATATATATATATATATATATATATATATATATATATATATATATATATATAAACCTGCGCCCCCATATTTAGAAATAAAATATAATCTTAGTTTAATGTAATTAAAGGTTGTATTTCAATGTTTTTTTAATTATTATTTAAAATTTACATGATTTTTTTTCTGTATTTTCATTAACGAAATCGTTAATCAATGAATCTAAATTAATTGACTTCATTTTGTCTGCGTTACTTGATAGTAATGCAAAATCTTTTAACGTTTTTGGTGACATAGTTGATCGCAAATCATTTTTTTTCAATTTTAATTTTGAAAATGACCTTTTTCCAGAACAGTTGTATATCATAAAACATATGAAAATCATAAGAATTATTTCAGTATTTGAAAATGTAGCCTTTATTTGTTTTTCCTTTATAAGTTTGTACAAATCGAAATGGGACAATTCAGGAACTTGAGTATTAAAATGTTCTTTCAAATACATGTGTAGATGTTCAAGTTCTGATGTTAAAATGTTCTTTCTTTTAAATTTATAGTAAGATTATTGATATTTTTTAAAAACCGTTTGTCTTAAACTCTTCTCGTGGCTTAATTCAGGTTTTTCTGATCGTTTTTCACCTAAAAGCGCTTTCTTATTACTTATTACTTATTACTTTCTTATTCTTATCTCTTTTGTAAATAATCTATGTCTGGTAACATTAATTTTGCATCTTGCTCTACTAAATCAAATGTGTTAATTAATTCAAGAAGATAATTGCCAAGAGATGAATAAAGTTCTGCACATGTATCTAGAGTAATAGCTGTACTTTACAATGATTTGGAAACAGCATTCATTCGTTGCAAAATTTGATCCCATATTATTGTTTGTAAAGCAAATTCAAAATTTTCCATTTTCGATAGTAAATTTCCAGCCGCAGCTCTAGCTTTTGTTTCAAAACTTACACTCTCATTAGTTTTGACTAATTCTTCCATTAATATACTGTAGTTCTGGTGAATGGTTTTGACCGAGTATCTAGAGTAGCGCTCTACCGAGTAATCGATAGTGATTTCAATGAACTACTTGCAAACTGTTCCAAAACGCTCCATAAACTTATAGAAGCAAAGAAAAAATTGTGCTGTTCATGATCAATACCAAAAAAATTAATGCAGCAATCTAAAACAGCTTCTCCTACTAAGTTAAAACAATAACCTGAACATGGCAAGAATTTTCCCAGCTTATTGAACTCCAAAATTCTAGTTTTTATGCCTTTATTTTCCAGCCATATTGCTTGAATTATCAAAAGACGGGTGTCTGCAAATGCTGATTTAGAAGTTCAATTTTACGTTTAAAAATTCCACGGTTGCATTTGCTAAATTTTCCCCGGTGTGATTTTCGATGTGGATGAAGGTGACAAATCTTTCAATAGGCTCATTAGAAATTTGATCAATGTACCTCAAGATCACACATAGTTGATATTTATGATTCACATCAGGTGTTGAATCTCTTGATAATCCATAAAACATAGATTTTAAAACATCGTCGCTAAATGATTGTAAAATTTGTCTTACTTGTCTTACTTGTAATTACTTGTCTTACTTGTCTTACTTGTCTTACTTGTCTTACTTGTAAAATTTGTCTTACTTGTCATCAGTATGATTAATTCATCACATGTATTCTTTAAGAGGTAGTTTGTTTTTCCAGAACCGCTGTCACCATAATTTTTTATGTGTTTGGCCAATAAAGGATCAAACTGTGCAATCAACTCAATCAGACCAATAAAATTTCTGTTGCTCGCAGACAACGGAAATTTTATTGAACCTCTAAAAACTAAGTTTCTTTCAATCAATTTGTAAATTACAGCTGTAGCTCTTCTAGAACCTCTCTCCAGTAGTTTTTTTCTTTAGGAACTTTGTTTAGAAGTTGTTCTTTTAAAAAACCTTGTTATTTTTATTGTGAAAGTATGCTAAGAAGGCTTTTCTGTAGTCTGATAACTGTTCATGCCAAAATTTTTCCAATCTTTATATCCCGTTAAACCTAAAGCACATTTTGAGGGTTCAAAAAGCTTGCAAACAAAACAGAGTTTCCCAAAGTCCTGGACCACTTTTTCTATTCAATGGCAAATCGATAGGGAAACAAACCCTCTCCTTATTGAGTTCCGATTGTTCGTTTAAAGTTTGAGTTTCATTAACTGAGTCTTTTAAAAAATCCAATATTTTTGCTTCTTTACTCATGCCAAAGTTTGCAAGATTAGCTGAACTTGGTGAATTAGCATGACTTTCTCCCAGAAAACACAAAACGTTCAACAAACGTTGCGAATGTTAAAGAACATTCTATAAACGTTCATAAAACGTGCTCAAACGTTCGCAACGTTCTTCAAACGTTCTTCGAACGTTTCGTGTTTGCTGGGCTGTTTTCCCGGTATTTGGAACAATTTATAGTTGCCGAAATACCGGTATTAAAAAAGTCGATTACCGTTATTTTGGTATTCGAAATAATTTTACCATTCGAAATAATTTCACCATTTGAAAGCTTAAAAAGTTTAAATTTTTAATTGATCTTATAAATGGAAACAAAATTCTTCATACAAAATGAAATGCGGGTATATGATATTGATTATTTTTAGTTAAATTATACATTATAAATTATACATTTTATTATCTTGTTTCGAACTTTTAGAAAATTTGTATTTTACACCGATATGAATATTCAAGATTTTGAGGAGCATTCCAAAGCAAATGATAAAAATTCAACATGGTTTCATTTTGTAAGAGAAAAGGCAGGACAGTGTGCTAAATGCAAATTATGTAAGAGAATAATAATAACACATGGAGGTTTTACAAGCGGTCTTCATACCCATTTAAAAACAATTCATAAAATCAATTTATTAAAAAAAGATGTAGGAAGCCCCACTGTTTTAGATTCTTCAGAATTTGTACAGACATCGAAACCTTCTGTAACTATAAAAAACCTTATTTAAAAGTGATAAAATGGATGATTCCTTGCCAGCTATTTTAGCTAGGATAACTGCGTGTGATGGTTTATCATTCAACATTATCTGCACATCATACGATATCAAAAAAGACTTAACAGCCAGAGGCTTTTCTAACATACCAAAGGATCACAAAATAGTTCACAAAATGGTCTTGAATTACGGTAAAAATATATGAGACGAAGTAATTAAAGAATTATCGAGCTAATGGAAACAGATTTTCTCTAACTTTCGATGAATGGACATCGATAAGAAATAGACGTTACATAAGTATTAATGTCTACTCTGACAAAGAATTTTCGAATCTAGAATTAATTCGTGCTTTTGGAACAATTCTCGCAGAACAATGTGTTGAGCTTGTCAATGATATCAGGTGATTTTAAGCTTTCAATCAAGAATATTGTAGGTATTACCACTGATGGCGCTGCAGTTATGTCAAAGGTAGGCAGGTTAATTGAAGCACAACAGCTGCTATATTTAGCGCATGTAATCCAGTTGGCTGTTATCAGCGTACTCTACACTAAACTTAATAATGAGGATAGTCTGCATAATGAAGAAGATGCCAACGTTACATCAGTTCCTACACTTAGATTTGTAAAAGAATTACACACATGAAGACGAATTAATTGATGAAAATTATGAAAATAAAAATGGTTTACTCATAATTTCCACAGAAATCGATGATGATAATTCTTCTTTTCTGGTACATCAGCAAACGTTACCATTAATTAAAAAAGTGGTCAAAATATTTCGCTCTTCGCCTAGATAAAATGATAAACTCCTACAAAAATATGTAAAAGAAAAGTTCGGGAAAGAATTGTCTTTGGTTTTAGACTCAAAAACACAATGGAATAGTTTGGTGTCTATGATAGAACATTTTGTCAAATTAAAAAATTGCATCAAATAGATTTAAAATCACAATTGAGTCTAATAGATTTAAAATCACCTGTTTTGTTTTCAGATGCAGAGAAGCAGCCATGGCGCAGTGATTAGAGCGCTTGCTTTAAAAGCAGGAGATTCAGGTTCGAAACGAACTCTGGACATATTTTCGCGTCACGGTAAGGAAGGAGTCGTGAACTTCCTATTTAAATGCACTTCCGCGGTGCTCTGTGACAAGACCGTTAGGTCTTCTTGGGGCACCTAAATAGCAAAAAAAAAAAAAAAAAAAAAGTTTGAAATGTAGTCAAATATCCTTTTAGTTTTACTTCCTATTAAGCTTACAGTTGAAGCAATTTGCCAACAAGATACAACTTTGTTATCTGCAGATGCTGATATTCTATTTATTATGAAATCACTAGCTGGCCATCCATGTTCATTACTTTATGAATTGAAAGCAGCTTTAAAAGTACGTATTCTTGAAAGACGAACAGAATCTTCAAGTGTTTTGCAATATTTACACAATGCAGACTCCAATGAAAATCCAAGTAAGGGTGAAACCAATAGAGATTATGAACTATTTCCGATCATTACCAAAGCTGCAATTTGCAAAAGTTATCGTTTTACAGATACAATGTCTGGGTGTGGCCTAACTTACATTATGAACCTGTAGCAACAACATCTACTTCAGCCAACATTTCAAGTTCAGACACAAATATAAAATTCAATGTCAATGATGATGAAGTTGATAAAAGAAATGAAATTTCTCTGACTTTAAAAGAAAAGTTGGAGATGGCAATATCAAAAAAAAATATGCACCAGATTACCAAAGTGTTATCTGGTGCATATTTTAGCGTATAAGATCTTTTTTATTTCG